CCTCTTCCACAAACCAGGGGATTTTTTTTTTTTTTTTTTTTTTTTTTTTTTTTTTTTTTTTTTTTTTTTTTTTGTGAAGCAAAAACTCCCTCACCCTCACATTCCAGTCAACCATCTGCACATATCCCGAGCTCACTATCCCAAAATAGACCTCAATTCCCTCCATAATCATCTGCAATATTCTCCATCTGGTGATGGTTGAATCGCAATTTCATCACCTGACATGGAATATTCGACAACTCATTTGAGAAATATGGTTGTGAGAAATTGGTTGAGGAAGTCTGAGAGGAAGTCCTCAATGGTGGTTGAATGAGACGAGAATTCTTGTTCATCTATGGCCATCCTTTCTAGACCTTTCGTAGGTCCAGGTTGGTCATAGGGATGTTTGGTGATGTAGTAAGAATGGCCGAGAGGGCTGCTGAAGAAAGCTCTGGTGCATCATCTTTTGATGCTATTTTTGGGGAAGATTACTTTTGACTCTGGTGAATTGGATGATCGTCTTATTGGTACTTATATAACTTCATGAAGCAATGTTGGACACAAAGTTCGAAATAAAATAAGTAAAGGAATTAAAATATAGAACTGAAAACTACATAATGACTTTTTAGAACGTTTTTAAACATAATATTATTCACCAGGGGTTACCTGCTGAGTCTCTCCTTTCTTGGAGTCTTTCTGGGAAGTTAGGTGAGCTGTATAATATACCCAACTTATATAATTATATTTTTAATCAGAAGACACTTAGAATAATCATTGTGGTCTTTTTCAAAGGTAATTACCTTTCACTCGGAATGACAAATAATTAAATTTGATTTAATGAATATATATTTAGGATTAGCAGTCCTTTCGTGGGTCCCACAGGCCCTTAGTGAAGTAACAAATCCAGATGGGTCCTGGAAAATTTTCAGCTATGCAGAGCGGCAGTTACATGCGAAATCACAGGTTAAGGATTGGCTTTGCACCAGATTTTTTTTTCCATGGTTTTTTCTATTCCATGCAGAGACGATAACTTGCGCTTCGTTAATACAACTGACAACATTGCTCTGAAAGCATCTCTGGTTGGTATCCCCTGATGTCCGCGATCAAAAAAGGGGCAGGCAAGTGGAATTACAATTATTTAATATCTTTTTCATTGAGTCAACTGTGATAGGTACCATGTCTCAAAACCAGTATTTTTTCTTCAAGTCACTATTGATTAGTCACAAGACAAAACCAGATTAGTATTCATTTCTGTAATTTTTTTTAACCGCTAGTAGTGAATTCCTGTTTTTTTTTCTCTTCAAGTCACTATTGATAGTCCATCAAGACAAAAACCAGAATTAGTATTCAAATGTTTCTGTAAAATTCCCTTGTTTTACCACTAGCTGTGAAATGAGTTTATAACTACTATTTATATATTTATTTATATTTTTGGGCTTTGTGGAGCAAGTGGGAAGGTTTAATAGTAGCCTCATGTAATGAATTCACCTATTATTTATTAATTGGGATAAGGTCTACTATTGATATCTATTCTACAGAACTCTGGTTATAACTGGCTCAGCCGCCAAAGTGCAATTTTGAGCCAAATAATCAATTATTTGGTTCTCAGTGAACAAAGAATATTCTGATAAGTTTTGAGCCTGTTTTAGAGCATTTGTTATGGATTGACTAATGTCTAAATATTTGTTATAACTTATATCATTAGCATCATATGTTATATACTTAATCTATTTTGACTAATGTTTCAAGATATGTTTTATGTTTTGCATTTTGTATGTTTATATGTCTAGAGACATTGTTTGGGATTATGAGGTAAGATTTGAGTTGATAAGTAAACACCCTCAATCAATTGGGATATGCCCTTTATATATATATATATATATAATTTGTTATTTGTAGGAACTCAATCGGCAGGACATGAATCAATTCATTTATTCTTTAATACAATTAATAATTTCCAGTTTTTTAGTTTTCCTTGATATATAAGAAGATACTAATCTGACATGGCACTTTGAACCTCGATATCCAGTGTCGACTAATTGGACACAAAAAACTTTATTGCACGTGGGTGCTTTTGAGCTGCCATGAGATAAGTTTTGGGCTGTACATGCCAACAAAGGTAGGAGTTGAACTGATGAACGTCTCTACCACCTTTTAATGTGTCGGATTAGTCGCACGTTTACGTTGCCAGATAGCATTAATTAATTGTTAGCATAATATATATTTTGCTGTGTCAGACCCTTTAAAGTAATCTAATTTCCTAGGATAATTTTCTTAAATCATTTAATGTCCTCTTTTGTTGGTTTCTTGCTGTCTTGACATCCAGAAATGGGGATCTCCCTCAAAAATATAGGAATGTAGTTATTTTAATGTTTGACTAATTATCTGCAAGTGTGCACTGTGCCTAATTGGTCTGTTACAGTTGAATATGCAAATGTGGTCCTTCAGTCTTTACTTCCTTGCGTGATTTCAATAAAAGATGGATGTAGAGACCTTTAATGAGTGTAAGGTGAGATTGAGAATGGCTAGATAGATGCATTGTTTTAA